TGCCGAATTATCAAAGGGGACGCTTGGTACAAGGTGTTTGCCTGGGAAAATTGTAAAAATGATACGAAATTTAGGTGATGAGCAGAAAGCTGCAATAAAAGAACTTAGTTTTGAGGGGATATTGAGCCTCAGATGTGGTGAACTGAAGCGGGGTGTATGTGCATGGTTGATTGAACGATTCGACACTGTGTACTTGACATTAAATGTCTACGGTGAAGCTATTAAGTTATCAGCCATGGATGTAAAATGTGTCATGGACTTGAGAAATGAAGGGTTGGACGTGGAGACTACTGGGCCTAGTGAAAGAATTAATGGCATTTAGAATTCATTGTTCAATGGAGTTAAGGATATCCTGTTGAGACAAGTGAATGAGAGACTTTGTGCACTTAAAGTGGCTTCGGATGAGTTTAGGATATATTTTGTGCTATTTCTTATTGGACATCTTCTATACCCAACCATGCGTACTTCAATCAGCAGCGGGTATCTTCACACTGCGTAGATGTTCCTTGTATAGGGAAGAGAAATTGGGCAAAGTTTGTATTTAATGGTATGGTTTAAGGGGTACGAAAATATCAAACACATGATCAGAAAAATGTTAGTGGATGTTTACTTGTTCTTATGGTAAGGCATGAATTTATTTTTTTAGTGTTTTTATGTTGTGCTTTTTTCACAACACTTTTACTGAATTACCTATTTTAATTATTTAATGTAGATAGTATATCTAGAGTGGGTCACACCCAAAGGGGTGTTTGTTAAACAACCGCCTTGTAGGAGCAACCCTCGAATTGTTGCGTGGGGGGATGAGGAAATTAAAAAACATGTAAGCATGTTGAATAAGTCCAAACGACTAGGGCGTCAAGAAGTTACTTGCAAATTGTTTGACAACACCATAAATAGACCCCCACCAGTTGATACAGTACACAATAGTAAACGATCCACCAATGAAGTGAAGCAAACTAGTTTGACATCAAATGAAAAACCACCGGTACGTATATACCATGATACTAATATCACATTGATGTATAATTGTTTTTGCCACGTTATCAATTGTCTAAATGTGCAAGAATGGGAGGCCAGAATGTGTAGGATGGAGAATGCGATTGTTAATCTAATTGGCATGGTGGGCTCAATGGTTAGCATGATGCAAATGTTTATGGGTGGATCATTTCCTAAAACATCAAATTTCCAAGAGATGGACAATGATGCTGCTGTTGGAGTAGTTGTTGAGGAAAAAAATAAAATTGACTTGAATGAAAATATAAATGCCAACTCCTGTGATGAAGTGGATGTGGACTACTGGATTTGGACACCCATTGTCGTTGTCCGCACCCCACCACCAAAACCATTCCATGAGGCATGGCGACGTCCATTGAATACTAGTAATGACGAATACAAACATAATAACGTTGGTGACATGCAAGAGGCTTCTTACTCATGCACTCAAACGCCATTCCCACCAATGCAGTTAAGAAGAGATTCTAAAAGGAGGCCAAGCAAATATGTGATTTTACCATATGAACAGCCAAAGGTATAACATACATCATACTTAATGTATTAATTACATTATACATTATCGTCACTTATACTTTGCTCCCTTCAACTACAACATCGTTGGGTGAAGAAGGATGATAAGAAAGAGGGCAAGGGGGAGGTGAATAATCCCCCGGATTACATTCAACCAAGCTTGGACAATTCCATGCATATAGTGGTAATGCATAAGGTTATGACACCGTTTATTATTATCCAATTTTTTTATAGTCATATATTCAATTTCTTTGTGCACAGGGCGGTTATGACATGAATTATTATGACAACATGACATCGATCGATGTGTACAAGACTCCGCCTAATCCTGGTAACAAACTGAAATTGTCTTGTAATAGTGCATCAGTTGCTGAAATTCTTAAGGTTTGATTTTTTCCATTGTTGATTATGTGACAAACTTGAATGGTAGTTTAATGTCACACATTTCGTACACAGATTTCAGATTCTACTTTGGGTATTCCAGAGCACGTTGAGGAATATGAAAATGTAGACATACTTTATCCTGAAGATAAGCAATTGATTTTGAATTACATATTTGACAAGAATCTTGACAAGAGGTATATTTATGTTAAATGTAAACATTGAAACATTTTAAAATATGTATTAATATGTGATCGAAAATAGTTGTATGATGGAATTTTTTTTTTAATACTTTTTAATTTTTTTTTTTACAACAGAGAGGTTTTAATTAGGTTTGAACATGACCATACTGGACGTCATTCCCTCATGACATTATTAACAAAGCAGTGGTTACTTGATTCGTTTAGTAAATTTGGTGTTTTTCAACCAATATATTTTTCTTTTTTTAATTACAATAACGTAAACCATTTGAATTTTACTTTGGTATTTTCCTATGACCGTAATAGGTTGTGGACTTGACCCATAATTTGTTAGCTAAGGAAGATAAGGTCAATCCAAAAACCGGATTAGAGAGGTGGTACCTACCCACGTGGTTCTCGGTAATAAAAATATGTTTATTTGTAGAACTTTATTTTAATTTAAAAAAAATTACATACAATTTGTTGATTATAATTTTGTTTGTTGTATTCAGCAACAGGCACTATGTCGGGCTGTGGGTAACAGTGAAATGAAAAAAACATTGTTGCATTCTATGTGCTGTGAGTGGGAAGTACATAAAAGATTTCTTTGCCGGCATCAAAAGCACACAACGCTCAGAAAGCTTGAATAGTTACTTGAATCGTTTCCTGAAAACAAGGCTTCGTTTGTATGAATTTGTTAGACAGTATGGTAGGGGTGTATCAAGAATCTGAGAAACCGAAGCCTATGACAATCATTATTCTGAAAATAGTACCCCAGTGTTGACCACTACACTACGCTGCTTAGAGCAGCACACTGCCTCACTGTATACCAGGTCAATTTTTTTTAAAGTGCGGGATCATATAAAGGCCGAAGGACTCTTCTTCGTGATCCAAAAAATTGAGCACAATACTCATTCGAGTTATTATCTGTTGAAATACACAAAACCAACATCTAGTTGGAATGTGATATATGAATATCAGACTCACACCATCAAATGCAATTGCCTAAAATTACAATATGTTGGACTTCCTTGCTCACACATCATAACAGTTTTGAAAACTGAACACATAACAGAGTTCCCTCCTTGTACTATTCTAAAACGATGGACAATTACTGCAAAATCTGCTAGCCCACCGAGCTTTGTGCCTGAAACGTCAACAACCATATCAATTTCTTGTCGCTATGCTGGATTAATGTCAATGTGTAGCCGGATGTGTTACTACGGTACACAATTGCCTGAGGACGCACATGAGCTTCGAACAACAATAACTGCAATAACCAACCGCATGAAATAACTTCATGATACACTCGAAGCAAGACAGGTGTCAGCATCACATGACACACATAATAACACTGTGTCGAACAGAAAATATGGTGTCGTCGATCCCAAGACAGTGACAACCAAAGGCAATCCGGGCCTTATACGGAAGAACCTACCAATAGCTCCACGACGATGTAGTAAATGTCGTGGCACTGGACATACTATTCGTAGGTGTCCGCAGCTTACATGCCTTGCGGACGACCCCCATGATGACATGCCCTTCTCACAACCTGGTAGCTCCCAACATCCCATGCCATCAACTCAAGAACCCGACCAATGGAATCCAACTTACAATTGCAATGTCCTCTGATATCAGGTTTCATACATTATAACATTTTAATTACTTTGGGAAATTCATCAAATTACCAACACGATTTTCATTTTCGTTTTTAATTTTTTTTAACAGCAGGTGAGGGAGACACAAAGGCTGTTGAGGGGCACTGAATGATGAGAATGAAAAAAATTATGAGTGCTTTGCAGATTGACCTTTCTCGTAAGCTGAAAGTTAAATGTAGATTGGTACAGTGGAGGAGCGAAGGTGTTGGATCATTGAAGCTTAATACAGACAGAGCTTCCAAGAAAAACCCAGGGATTGCAGGGAGAGGAGCTGTGGTGCATAATGAATGGGGTGGCATTGTTGTGGCTACCTCATTCTTTGTATGGGCAGTGCTCTAACACCATTGAAGAATTTAGAGCATTGTCCAATGGATTGAAGCTTGTTTTGGCATATGGTTTGACTTGTTGCAGGTTTGAAATTGAATGTCAATAATCAGAATTTTGGTGAATGATGTTCTGGGTATTACTGACTATCTGTGCACATGTTTGAGCTATTTGACACATATTAGTGGCTTCTTGAGGGGTCTGCATTATAGCTTGGTGCATATTTTTCGGGAGGTGAATGCGAGTGATGCTGATACTCTTGCTGGGCAGGCGGCAAAGAGTAGAAATTCAGTTGATTTTTCGATGGGTTTGAGATTGCCTTGTGATGTTACCTTCGTTCTGTTATCTGATCAACAAAGTCTCCCTGTTTTGCAAAAAAGAAAGAGGGTGGTCTTCGACGATAAGGTGTAATAGGAGCTGCTGCTGCAGCCTTTGTCTTGGATTATTAAGTGTTGATTTGTTTGAAACAATGGGAAAAGATAAAAAGCTCTTTATTGTTGATACGTGCTTATGGATTTGGACTGTGATGGGGATTTTTGCTGAAACTTTGGAGTTTGATGTTGTGTAGTTTATGCTTTGCATTGTTAGTTTTGCCTTTTACTGGGTATGAATGGGCGTCTGTGCCTTTTCCTTTGTTTCTTGTCAATATTTTGCATTATGAATAAATAAAATTCCCTTTTGATTAAAAAAAGTAATAATAATAAGATCCCTGCTTTTGATTCAATTGTGCACGACCAATAGATTAATACTTCTTTTAACATTTTTTAGGTGAGTATGACTACATGTGCTTTGTACTGCTTTTCTTGACAATATATTGATCAAAGAAGTAATTACAAGAAGCAAAGAACAAACAGTTCTACAAATTTCAAAAATAGTTGTAATCCTTCAAGATGATTAAAACCATATTAAGCTACAAAATTGTGTCTGCTAATCTTCAGTCCAACTCTTGAACTCCCAGACAGCTCCTGATGCAGAATCCCCAAATCAGAAATAAACCAGTACAACACCCATTCAGTCCCAGCTGGTTTGCTATGTACCCAAACTCAGCTCCTGCACCTTTGGTAACAGCCCAGCTCACAGCAATAGTCTGCTAGAATAGCAGACAACTATTGAAACAAAGCAAAACAACAAACCAGTCCAGCAGCCAAGCATTAAGACCAGGACTAACCCTCCACATTAGCATCCCAGCAGCTATCTTCAAAGTCAATCCACCAGAAAATACAAAATCCATCATAAATAGACCAATGCAATCCAGTTCAAATAAAAAACCAAGACTCAGCTCTATACACCAACTGCCCAGACACAAAACTTGCCCACACAGTCTGGCAGAATATAAATCATCACAAAAATTGGCTTTAATCCTTCAAAAGGCTCAAAGCAACTTATCCTCCAACTACAAACAAGACCTCATGCTCAGCACACTATCACCCCAGACACATACTAGACCAATCAGATCAACTGCCCAGTCTTCCATCAACCGTTCTAACCTCTCCTCCATCATCCAAATCCTTGCCTTTGGTCACAAACCACAAGTCTCCTTTTCCTTGTAGTACTCAGTCCAAAATGATCCTGATGAAGAATTAATCTGCCAGACTTAACAGCCAGACTGGTATGAGAAGATAACTCAGTAGATGCTCCCATCTGAACATCAATAGAGGCCAAAAAATCAGCTAAAACATGTCAACGTTTCTAACTACTAGCCAATATATTTAACAACCATCTACCCAACATCTACAACACCCTTGCCAAAATGCCAAATATTACTATAAAACAAAAGATTCACAAAAATAAAATACACAAAACCAATGTGTCATTTGTTGATGTACTCTTTAAAGTCCTTATAAAAACAATCTAATTATGACTCCAGACACTGCAATGACCCTTTCGTTTCATCCTCAAACTTTTCAAATCAGGCCTCCAACTTTTCAACCATTTGTTGAAGTGGTTGTCGACCCTCACTAGTGCCAGCATCAGAACCAACTTGACTAGTCCCAGCTTGACTACCCATAACCTAAGGCACCGCTGCTGCCTGCTTCACACACTTGCCCTGTTTCACACCCAGAATAGCTTCCACACTTTTATTAAGTGTACCCATACCCATTGGATTCATGGGATAAATAAAACTGTCATTCTGCTGAAATTCAACCACATTATGCTTCAAAATCTTGGAAACTAATATTGGAAATGGAAGACATGGCCTGTCATCCTCAACAGCAGATGCTTCACGAACATGGTTGAATATGTAAAGGGATAGATCAATAATAACCTCATGTTCCGCAATAGCATATAATAGTTGGGTCGTATCGTATGCAATCTCAACAGTATGCCCCCTCGGATGTATATTACAGGCAACAATTCGGTTTATCATCCTATACGTTGGAGTAAGGTCAGTGTGAGCAATTTTACTTTTCTCATTCTCCCAAGGGACACTCCCAATACAAATACGTTGAATAACCGTCGCCATTTCAGGAGCCTACTCCTTACTTGAATATGGAAAGACAATGGAATTCTCAGGAATGTCTGGTCTATCAATTTTTAATATATTTGAAATAAGATCAGGCGAAACAGTGATGGATTTCTTCCTAACCAGTGTCTTAAATGTCAGCTCATTCTCATTTTACTCATGAACATTTGCATAAAAAAACTTAACCAGTTCAACATATGTTTTATCATCCACATTCACATCACACAAAGGTTCCCATTTCCGAGCCCGAAGTATTTTAAGGGAATCCACCCTCCCTACTAGCTCATCAAGGTAAACACCACGCTTAATTAACAGAGGACGTTTAACAATGAATGAATCATACCTCTTCTTAGCATCTTTATCCACAAAGAGTTTGGCATTCCCAGAACTCTCCCTGCTAACCTCCTTCTTCCGTTTCTTCGCTTCTCCGCTTCTCCGCTCGACATCACCACAGCTCCAAATGTGATTCTTTCACTCTTCTTCAACAAAGATTCACAACGAACATTCACAATGCAAATTTTCACTCTTCTCCGAATGAAGATTGAGGTTTATGGAATTGGGAGATTTTGAATGGGTTTTGTAGGATTTTCAATGGATTTTGTAGGATTTTTAATGGGTTTGAAATGGGTATTGTCGGATTTGAAAGGGATTTTGAATGAGAATGGAAGGCGCAAGCAATTTAGGGGTAATTTTGTGGGATTTGGGGATTTATTTGGGTAAGCCAATGTTTGTTTACTACAAAGCCCCCCTTACAACACTTAAATTTATTACTCTTTGTGGGCATTTAAGTAAATACATCAACTTTTGATCTATCCTATTTATTTTTGATCGATCGCAATCTCACTTGCTCCTTAAACTTCTCCAGCAGTAACTCCTTGATCGATCATTATACATAATTGATCGATCGCCATCCCACTGGCACCATAACCTTCTTCATCACTAACGCCATGATCGATCAATATACATAATTAATCGATCGCAATCCCACTGGCACCATAACCTTCTTCATCAGTAACTCAATGATCGATCAATTATGTATAATTGATCGATCGCAATCTCACTGC